AAATTGAAATCAAAATAATATTTTACATACCTACTTTAATCGAAGACTTCATTATAATTTCCATTTCACTACATTTAGATAAAATTTCAAAAGATTAATAAATAATACACGAATGTACTTATATAAAATGCAAGTAACATTAATACATCCAATTATACAAAAGTTTTCATGTCGCTAATGAAATTTGACAGTTGAAACCCGGTGGGTCCATATTCTGCCAACAATTAATTCTGATACATGACAAAAATTAATTATTTGTATATTCTGATCTATTTTCATTCTATATATCTATCTCAACTTTTATATCTATTAATTTACTATTGAAAGCTTATTGGGTTTCATTATTACACTAAGACACTGGCGAAGAAGTTCTGTGTCTGAGCTATTGTTCACACAGAAAATATCTAGAAATATTAATGTTATTACGAACCGTGTTGTGCGAAAACTGTTCAATCCACAAACTGGCCAAATTATTATAGCAAATATCAAAACTAAAAAAAATATGGCGATCAATTCAAATTACATAGGCGTGATTCCTTCTTTTTTTGTGTTTTGCTAGAAAGATTGTAAAAAGAGATCGTTTGAATTGATAGTTTAGCATCAATACATCAATTTTGACCCGTTTGTGGTTTGGATTTTGCACAACATTTTGTCTTTAAAATAAGCTATAAAATGGAAAATCTTATATAACGGTGCACATAATATTTAGTTAGAGTGATGAAGGGGTAACACGTCGATATCTACAGTTTCTTCAACACCAGAATCAGCACCACAATTGATTTTTTGCATTTTAAGAACCAAAACGAACTGCATATTGATATATTGAAATATATTTAATGCACTAATGAAAAGTAATCAATGCAGACTTATATTTAGACGAAGATACCTACACGGTAGTTTGGTTAAAAAAAATGCTTTTCAAGCCTATTTGCCAAAGTTATTTTGATACTTGTATGTCTTTATTTACGGGAGATCCGATACCTACGAGTACGTCGTTTTGTGAACTATATTTTATTGTACTTAATACATTTATTTTAGTTATCATTCGTGACCACAATTACAAAAGCACCTCTTGATCTGAAGCCAGTTCTAAATTTTATTTAGATGAAAAATAAATGACCACATTTAGGCAGGATTTGTTTAAATATATATTTTTAAGAACCTTTACATATCTATCTTAGGGTTGAAGAGTTTTTACCACACCAGGGTTACTTTAATATACTTTTATATATTTACTTCTACATTCAATTCTAATTCTATTAAGTTTTTAAAACTTGCTGGCGCCTACTTTTATTATAAAGCCTCTTACATCGTAACTGTAAGCAAATGGTTATCATATGGAACACATTTTAGTTGGAATTCGTTTGCTTAACTATTAATGTGTAAGAGGCTTAGACAGGGCCACAAAGATTGTATAAACACCTCTGTTGACGTATAAGCTTTCATTGGCATATTGTAATTGACAGATAAAGTACTGCATTATTGACAGTAAAAATGCAATAAGTTTATTAAATAAAAATAATATTCGGAAATCTAACAAATAAAGCCGTCTAGTTTCAAACTAATCAGAGCTTGTTTTATTAAAGCTAGATTGATTGATAGAATACTTTTATACTTTACTTTTGTTGTAAATACATACACATTTTACATAGAAAACACTCAAAATCCGAAACAAATATTTGTAGATCATACAAACATTTGGTTCGACCCGGGAATTGAACCAGAGACCTCAGCACAAAAATCGCATATGCCAGCCAGTAAAATAAGAATTTTGTGCTCAATATTAGTGACAGCTAATGCACATAACAGTATATTTCTAACTTTTATATTGGGACAATTACAAGAATAATTCTCGTTAGTAAAGTTAGCTGGCAGTCACAGGAAGACTGATATTATTAATTTATAAACAATCCTAACTTATGCGTTTACACAAATGTATGTGACCTTTGGTACTCAGTTACTATAGTCTGCACGCTTATATATTGTTACATGTCCATACTTTTCCAACGGTGGGTACTACTATTAGTTTCTGATTTTTATTTATCTTAAAATTTACGACTGAAGTCATAGTCAATATGTCATAATTAATATAGTAGCATAAAATAACAATATGGCCCTGATTGTGATCATTGTGGCCCTGTTCTATCATTATAATACCTACATCAAAACTGCGTATTTATTTTCATTTAAAATTAAATCAACTGTTATATTTGATGCATACAACTCATGTTAGAACATGCTAATTTCTTTTACATTAACACAATAAATATTACCGCTCAGTTTATTTCCTTTCATAGTTTACTTATTACATATTATTAATGGCACACTTAGTTGTTTTTAATAGGTTAAAGGTACAAAATTAACCTTAACCAAATTGGGACGATAAGGAAGTTGACAAATTTTATGTATTACGATGAGGAGGGGTTGAGGAGGAAGGGAAAGCGGGCTTTGTTTTCTTGTTTATATACCAAATTGTTGCTAGGTGTAGGAACTTCCCGAGCGGTTAATTTATAATAGATGTACATTATGCTGCTTAGCTTCAAGCGGAATATTTCATCGATGGTACTCAGCTTCACGGATTGCGTCGAAGTTTTGAGAAAAAGCTGTAACATTTAAAATACCACATATTATTATTTTTGGTGTTTTTTAAACTTTAAGAAGCAAATTTACAAAATATAATCAAAGTTAAATTAAATGTAGAAACAAAAAGGCCAACCGAATGATTGCATATAGTTTAACAAAAAATCGTCATAGAATCGACTTTCCTTTAAACAAAACTGCTTTCAAAAACATACTCACAAAACTAAGTAAATAATGCAATGTTTTTGAAAACAATAATTCCTTTCCTTCATCACGGAAAAAGACTACGATAATTTCATACACTTAAATGGTTGTGTTTAACAAAACTTAGACTGATGAAACACAAAGATGCAATAAACAGCTTGTGGAATTAGAAAATGAAATAAAAAACATAAAACTTACCATAGAGAAGGTGCAGTGCAACATAAAGAATATGGGCTAGATGGATATATAACAATGTACGTGCTATGGTAGTGCGTTTTGTGTACACGGTTGCAAATTGCAAATAATAAACAACTTTAACAAAATAAATAAAAAATATTCATTTTCTTAAACAAATATTTATGAACGATTATTTTTATTTTTCTATTAACTATTGTAAGTAGTATGTAGTCAAGTTAAACCAGTCCTCTTTATTAAAATTCTACATAATATGGTCTTTGGAAACGTGTAAGAAATAACAACCCGTGACGTCATAGGTTGCTATTCTCAAATTATTTACTTTATTCTTATACAAAATAATTAATGACAAACTCAAAAATTGTTATGAATTCATTTTTTAATATCTCTATTAAACATTTGATTTTATGAGGTCTGTCAGAGAACTAATGTTCTCATATTTAATAAAAACTGCTAAAGCTAAACTTTAAAGTCCAACATACCAAAGAATTAAATTTAAATACAAATGTTAATTAGTTTAATTTAGTTGAATATTAATTAGTATAATATTTAAGTAACGGTAAATAAAAGACTACATTGTTCGAGAATGATCTCTTATAATTCTTATGTGTATATAACAACTTACTGAGATGCATCACAAGCAACAAGCTATGCCGTTCTCATAATCTCAATAAAGCTTAACTTCTTCATAATTAGCGAGATTAAATTATACTTTAAAACATGAATATCTGACTGATTTATATATTATATTCCGTTACTATATAAAGTAGCTTTGTGACATGGACAGGGCGGTAGCACAAAACTTAAATAATAAAAGTTAAAAACATAGCTCAGGCCGCGAATTAAAAAAAAACTAGCAGATCTATGTAGGTATATAAAACTACAGCAATTATATTCGTAAAATAAAGCCGACAATTGAGATTGACTGAGCGGGGAGCGGTGCTTATAGCGGGAACGAATCAAAATTAAAAAAAAGTAATATCTACTTCTATTTTATCATTGTCTTTCAATTACATATATATAACGCTTACTCCGTCAAATGCGCACTTATTTTGAAAGTAATGTTTACAATAGCTATATATTTCGTTTCAAATTACCCGCTCATCGCTCCGCCCGTCTCAAATCGTGGCCAAAGTAAGAAACGTGTTGTGATATGCTCGATATCTCTTTACTGTACAAAGCATGTAAACTCTACTAATGAAAACATAAGTTAAAATAAAATAAATTATGCAACATGAAACACGGCTCTAATACCTATCTCATAAATATATTTATATTAAAATGCAAAATGTCACATTTTATAACAATTATATTCAATGTCACAATTAAAAAAACAAGATCTGTAGTCAATGAATAAAGTTTATTAGAATTAATCGTAATAAAATATATTGATTTAGGCAAGACATGATTTGACATAAATTATATTATATTTTTATTTATATTAAAACTTGTTAAAGATTTTATAAATCTGCTTTATATATTAATCATTCTCAAAGTTTATTCGTGAAACCACATCCAATATTAAAGTGATTTCTTTGAAATCGTGATTTGTTAGTCAATGTAAAATTATAATAACATTTGACAAAACACTAAATTGTACTTTACAGTACCTGTGAGACACAAAAGTATACAATATAACTAATATATAAGTAGATCTAAAAGAATCGATAAAATTGTTCTTACATGTACAGTGCTCAAGGCGACTGTACGACTGCTTCTTCGACAATACATCTTCGATTTAAACCGAACATCTGTACAAGAAACCGAAACAACACTTTTGGTTTTTAAAGCCATAGCACATATGCGTTTGTCATAAAAGCACGCTAAGCTTAGCATATGCAATTTAAAACGCATAATACGATATGTATAGTAGGCGTTATAATCAGTTTTCTAAATAAATAAGAGATCAATGTATGTGATTGTACAGTCGGGTGGAGAAGCGGTCGCGCGGTCGCGTGTTCAAATAAATAATAAATTAATCAACTATATCATACATCGTGTTCGCCGTTCGTTCGCCGCGATTACTTCTTCCTCTTAAGCTTCGGTATTCTGTAATGCGTGCGTGTGAGGTTAAGAGCAGGCAATTGTGTATTGTTGACATTAAAACTGTTAAACTTGATACTAATATTTTTTATAAACGAAAGATAAATTGGAATAATTTTGCATCTATATTAAAAACATTTTTTTAAATATTTACTGTAGATAAACGGTTAATAGTATATTTAGAATACGTTTGACAGTTTTAACACTTAATTTAATGAGATATATGCAGTGATTTTAATTATTTCGATATTTAATGGCTGGATTTCATTTATATTTGTGAATTAGACAGTGGTTGACTGCGTGCCATTATTTACAAAATTTGTTCTTAGATGGCTAAATCCAAGTATAGGAAGAGTCATGAAACCTGCCACCATCCTTAGCTGCGATAGTAGAAAGCAAAAACTATTTGAATATAGAATATCCACAAACAAAACCTCTGCTGCCCACAAAGACGACCGACCACGAAATACTCAATAGAAGTAAAGATAGTGAGATGATGTGCTGGAGAACTCTTCCCATACCACATCAAATGGAGAAGTAAGATAATACTCTTACCCAGAACTCTTCTTATGTGGCGACGGTGAGGACTGCGATTTTTCTGATTCCAATAACTTAGTGCTCGAATCCTTCATAAAACCTAAAATAAACAATTAAACGCATTTTTATTTATGCACACATACATAGTCGTAGCTTATGTTTTGTGACTAATAAACACAACCAACCTTTTCCTGAAGAACAAAAGACGGAAGTCCCCAAATTATTCAAACTGCTCGTAAATGTATCAGCCTCACTTGAAAAGGCATCTGCCACTGCTTGGCTCTCAGTTTTTGCTCCTTCGATGACGTCAGTTAACCTCGCTTCAGCACTCTCAACTCCAGCCTTACCTGTCCCCTTAATCTCCTCTAACTTATTGTCAGCTGACACTGAGAATCCCTCAAACTGGTTCTTAACATCTCCAAACAACTCTTTTGAACTTTCTTCAATATTGTGTTGAGAATCCGATACAGACCCACACATTCCTTTTACAGAATCATCAAGACTATCGAATGTATTGCCTGTTGAACTTTGGAAGCTGTGAAGTGTATCTTCCGCTGAACTACCCAAGCTTAACGCATCATCTCTCATAGTAGCAAACGTGTCTCGGGTCGAACTCTGCAGCTCATCCCATTTATCCTTGCCTTCGTTCACTTTGTCCTTCGTCGAACTTTCGACCATATCGAAAGTACTCAAGGTTGAGTCTTCTGCGTGATCGAATGCTTGTTTAGACGACTTTTGTAGATCATTCACTTTATCGCTAGCCGATTGTTGTAAATGTTCTAGTCCGTTTTTGCTAGCTTGTGTTAAATTATCGTAATTATGGCTCATGTTTGTTTGGAATTGTACTCCTTTGGCGGCAGCTGCATTGATAGTATCCTCTGCAGATTTAGAGATTTGGTCGGTTGTGTATTCAGCTTCTTGCCTTATCCTATCTAGTTCGCTCTGTGCCGTTTGTTCTTTTTCATGACAAGAACGATTTATGTCCTCTGTTATGGCGGTCCCGATAGCTTGTGTTCTATCTTGTAAAGCCTTTGTAGCGTCACTGGTTGTTTCTTCGACTGAATGTCTAAGGTTACTGGCTGTACCTTCAACGGTATCCTTTATTTCTTTAGTCTTATCACAAACTGCTTCTTTTGCGTCTTCACTCTTTTCGTGTGCCGAATGTCCGAAACCATGGAAAGTATCGCTTATGGCATGCCCAATTCCGCTGAAGGTATCTTTAATGGCATGTCCAAACCCAAGAGATTTCTCATGCAGTTCATGTTCGACTTCAGTAGCTTTGTCGTGGATGACATCTTTCGTTTTCGTAGTTTTATCTTGAATGGCTGACCCAACTTTGTTGGCTGCGTCGTTTATGTTATGATCGATATTAGATGCTGTACTATGGATATTACTTCCAACATCCGTAGCTGTATCATGTATAGCTAGACCGAATCCAGTAAATTTATCATGGATAGCATTTCCAAATTCATCAGTTTTATCCTTTGCTTCACTAGTTTTTACATTAACAGTGTTACTAAATTCATTTACTTTATCTTTCGCTGTGGTTGTTGTATCTTCCACGACTTGTCCAACTTTAGTGGCTTTGTCGTGTATAGCATCCTTAGCTTCGCCTGTTTGGCTTAGGATAGTTTGTCCAACTCTACTTGCTTCATCGTGTATAGCATGCCCTACTTCACTGAGATTATCCTCAGCTTGCAATGTTTTATCTTTTATAGCTTGTTCAACTTTAGCAGCATCATTTTGAATAGCATGTCCGACTTCATTTGCTTTTTCTTTTGCTTCGCTTTTTTTATCATGAATGGCATTGCCAATTTTTCCAAAGCCATCTTTCATTGCTTGTCCTGTTGTTGCAGTTTTATCTTGGACAATATTAGTAAAATCTGATCCTGTTTCTTGAATTGAATCTTTGATTTGCTGTGACTTTTCACAAACAGAGTCTTTAGCTTCTTTAGTTTGATCTTCAATAGATTTTAGAACATTAGACGTCGTAACAGACACAGCATTGCCAATTTCATTAGCATTATTATGGAGTGTATCTTTAACTTCAATTGCTGTTTCGTGGGCAGTGTCTTTGATTTTACCTACCTTTTCTTGAACAGAAGATTTAACTTCAATCGCTTTATTTTCCACAGCCTGTTTTGCTTCATCGGTCTTATCTTGTATCGACTTTTCAACTTGATCCTTCTTTTCGTTGAGAGACTGTTCCAATTGTTTCTTCCTGTTATCAATATCTTGGGCTATATGTTCTGCGCCAGTCTGTAATTCTTCTTGTGTTTTAGCTGCAGCGTCTTTAATTTCGTCCTTTTTCGAGGATGCATGTTCTAAAGCTTTGTTAGCGGATTCTTTACCATCAGCAATTTTGCCCTTCACTTCATCCTCCATTTTTTCTTTTTCACCAAAAATATTCTGGACTAAACCTGTAAAGAAGTTCTTTCCTTCTTTAGCCTTTTTCTTAGCTTCCTTCGCTTCCTTTTTAAGCTCTTTCTTGCTTTTTTCTTTGGCCCCCTCAAAAGATTCACCCATAGATTGTATTTTTTCATTAGCTGCAATGTTAGCATTGTCTAAAGAGTCTTTGGCTGCATTTTTCACATTTTGAGCTTCTGTAGCTACAGTAGCTGCACCATGTTCTACCTTATCTTTAAGGGACTCTGTAGTTTTATCTGTGGCACTTTTCAATACCGCTACTTTATTTTGTCCTCTAAGTTTCATTTCTTCCGCTCTTTCATGAGCTGCGAAATCTAAAGCCATTGCTTTGGCATTCAGATTATCCCTTACAACACCTACATTTTGAGTAACGTTATTAATAATATCCGTACCAGACGCTTTAGCATCTTCAATTTCGGAAGAAGCATTTACTTTCAATTCGGATACCTTTGCTTCAAAATTATCTCTAGCCTTTCCCGTGGAATCAGCAATATCATTTAACATGCCACGTCCACTGTCTTCCAATTCTTGAATTTTATGCTGACCATCTTCGTTAAACTTTTCTAAATGTGCTGTTAAATCATCAGTTTTGTCAACAGCTTTCTGTTGATTTTTATCTTTTTCTTCTTTGATTATATCTAAATTATTTTCAGCTTTATCAGAAACGTCTTGCTGGATTTCATGAACAGCGAAGTTAACCTGTTCTATTCTGTCTACAATATTAGAAGTTTCATCGTGGCGATGCTTTTGGCCCCTTGCATATTTGCCTTCGCAGCATCCGACGTAAAATTGGAAGGGGTCTATTTTGGAACAACATAGTGGAGTATCAACAGGTTGCATATGTCTGTATTGTTCATAAAGATCTTCTTGAACATCAGTAGGACCGTGCTCATCTACAACTAATTTAGTTGAATATACTTGACTGTCAACATCTTCGTCTAAATGAGGTTTTGTTTTTAGATCTTTGAACATATCTTCAACTTTACCTAAGATCTCTTCATTTATTATTCTAGGAGCAGGTTTAGGTGGGACTTTCTCTTTTGATGGAGATGTCTCTTTTTCTTTCAGAGATGACTTTTCTTTCTCTTTCATTGGGGTTTTTTCCTTCCCTTTTTGAGGAGACTTTTCTTTTTCTTTCTGGGGAGACTTTTCTTTTTCTTTCTGGGGAGACTTTTCCTTAGATTCTCTCGGCTTGGGTAGAGGTGCTGGAGATGATTCTTTTTCAACTTTCTCATCTTCTTTGTCATCACTATGACCAAACACACCGAAAACTTTATCAGCGAGGCCGCCCAAGAAACCTCCTTCTGATTTCTTTTTGCCTTTCTCTAAAGTATTCATGGGGGTCTTATCTTCATCTGAATCAAAAGTTGCCTTTGTTTTGTTTGAGTCTACAACGAGATCATCACCATGATGAGCATCGCCGTGGTGGGAATCGCCGTTTACTGTAAAGGAGAAATCGCAAATAAATAATAACGATATATTAATCACGAAAAAGAGTTGTGTATAGTTATTGCACAAGATCCTTGTTTCAAATTACATTAACTTTTGATAAAAAAACTTGAATACCTTTAGGGTCAGCACACACCGAGAGGAATAAACCTCGCGCAGTCTCAGGGGTAAATGAAAACAACATGCAATTGTATGCACTTTAGAGCAATCCTCTCGGTATGCACTGACCCTTAATATTAAATAAAATGAATAAATACAAAAACATTTATTCTACTACTAAATTATTTAACAATACTTGATGAGAATGTATACAGTAATGTATTGTATGTACACAAGTAATTTGCTTGTGCTAAATATTAAATAACATTGTAATGAATTTGATAATAACTAGTTAATGGTGCTAAATAATCTTCCAATGAATTGCATAATTATTAGTTAATTGTGTTAGATAAACTAAATAACATTGTAATAAAATGTATAATAATTAATGAATTGTGCTAAATAATAAATAACACTTAGTGATATCTTTCATCATAACTAAATAATATGTATTTTATTTGCCCTTACTACAATAACTACTACTACTATACTATATTACAATATATAAATTATTATTCATATCATAAAATCACGTGTTGTTTATTGTGATAGAGCTGATAGTGTTGATTGTTCTGGATATGAAGGGTAAATACCTTGAGGTTTCACATGTTTTTGTGTGTCATCTGCACTCGGGTACTTGACATCACCGTTGGTGATGAGTTTGTGATGACCGTTGAGTTGTCGCTCAAGTGACATGGGTCCGAGGCTGTTGTTGTGATCACCACCCCATTGGAAGCTTAGCTCGTCTTTTAGAGCATCGAAACCTGTGCAGTGTTAGTGTAATTAAAAAACCAACATCATAAAGTGCGGTCACCATTGAATGACGTCATTTGGTTAGTAATATAAAAAGATAATTTCACAGCAAGACCAATTAATAACTTCCGGTAAATCTTGCAAGAGTTGTGATAGGAGAAAAAGTGAGACAGAGTGGGATTTAGAAAACGGCAAGTTTTTCATAACTTTTGTGTAATTCACACGTGCAATATTATATATCAACACTCATCAGCAGAGTTGTTCATTGTTAAATTTATTTTTGTACCACATTAATTTAAAAAAAAACATTAATGTTATTTGAAAGAAGGAAAACTTGAAACAAACCCTATCTCAACCCGTTTGCCCAGCGTGATATAATAGTCCAAACCTCCTTTCTAAGGAGAGACCTATGTTCTGCATTGGACTATTAAGGGCTGTTGATGATGATGATTGTAAATGTTATTTACCAGATTGGTCCAGATTGAGGTAGTCGACCTGGCTCTTGCCCGCGCGAGGCGCGATGCGCTCGGGCAGCTCCACGTCCAGCACGCACGCCGGGGTCTGGGACTGTTCGCCTTTTGGTACCTACAACACAATAACATATTCAGAACAACAATTTACCATCATCACACATACACAATCGACCACACATATACGTTTAATAATGGTATATATGTATGTATGTGTATGCATATAAATAGATATTTGTAATATGTGTTGTGTGTATTTTAAATACTAGTAAGTATATACCTGTCAATTATGTATCTTTCTTCTGTTACATTCAATTAGTTTGTTTAGATGTTAAGCCTAATTTGTATAACTACACACTGTCATTTCACTAATTTAATGCATTTGTCCATGACCAAGACTGTCTGGAAGAAATCGCAATTAGTGATAAGACCGCCGATCATATTCCTTTACTATTTAAACATTTTTAAATGTTTAATAATGATGATAAAGTAAATAAAGAGTTAGGTTAAAGTTTTAGTGCATGTTTCTGTTTAGATTAAAAAAATTCTTACTTTTGGTTCATTCATGAAGTAGATTCTGCCGGAAGGATTTTCTTCATGATGTTTCACCCGTACTGTAAATTCTACGCGGTTGTCTTTAAAAGCCTGCAAAAAAAACAAAATTTTATCCGTAAAAAAAAATACACAACCATATGGATTGAGATTTTCTAGCCTTCATTATAGAAATGTACGTAAAATATTATAAAGATACATACCTCGAAAGTCAACATAGGCTGGCTGCCAGACTTGGTGACCGGGACTAGGTTGCCGGAGAACTCCAGGTACACATCCTTGCCGTCCAGGAACCGAACCGATGTAGAATGGGCCACCTCCGTGTAATGCTCCTATGTCAAGAATGTTTTGGTTTAACTTTTGAATTGACAATTGTTAAGTTAATTAAAATTATTTTTTTGATTGAAAATGTAGGGTATGCTTTCAATCAGAAATGAATATTATAGATTGTACAAGCTTAGATGAATCAAGACAAAGATACGTAATATATAGATGAATATTATTGCTATCAACAACAAAAAACAAATTCAGATTATTAAATCATGGGGCGGCCTAATGTGTTTTAAGGGGCAGAGGGATACTTAAAAATCTTAATTTAAGTACATTTATTAGTTTTATGACAAAATACACATTGATAATAGTGAGGTACCTGTTGTAAGAGCGTCTCGTACGCATATCTGTCCGTGATGTACATAACCAAGAGCCGGCCCTCCAGGGCGTCCAGCCGTTTGCCCAACACCACGATGCGCACTTCAAATGGTACCATCAGCATTTCTCTGTAATAACAAGTCATTTGTAACGGCAAATAAAACATTACTTGCAGAAAATAATATCATATATCCAAATATTAAAAGAATAAACCGGAATAACACAAATTGTTCTTTAAAATATAAATATTATAATTACCTGTATAATTCCGTCGCAAGCTTAGTAGCGTCGCTTACATTTTGACAATTCATCATCCAGAATCTGAAAAGGAAAACAGTATTTTAATAAAGAAACAGAGCCACTTCAAATGAAGCCTCTAAAGGTACAAAAAGCTCTTGTACAAAAATAATATTTATGATGAGAAAAAGTATGTTTTTATTTTTTCAGAATAGAAATTTTTCACTCACGTATTCACCCAGAAACTGAATGGAGCTAAATTTATGAAACCGGTTTGATAAGACGCTTTAAGGTTAAACGTCTATCCGAATCGAAAACCGTGAACAGAATAATATACAATGTCCACAAATAACCAGTGATGGTCAATATTTAAAGTCTTTACCAACTAAATATAAATGCATGATATCATGTGCATTTTGGTGTATATTTAAAGTCTGACGTGACATAAAATTATTTATTAACTCCAATATCTACTATAATATAGTAAAAAATCTGCATGTTGGTCTTGTGTTTAGTAATTCGGACTAGTAAGTCAGAGGTAGTGGGTTCGATTGCGGCAGGAAGGCAAATAATTGGATGAGTTAATTTATTTAATGTTTTCCAAATGATTTTTTAACTTTTTTTTATTCAGTCAGTTATCAGATTAGTTTACATGTTTACTAAAATAAAGCCGTGTGGTGTCGTGGGACACCCGATAGGAACGAAGTTGTGACGATCGAGTAAAACTGATTCGACACTATTTTAATTACATCGCCATCTATGAACGCGGCTATTACCTACATATTTTTCAGTTGGTTTCTAATTAAAACAATTTATACATTAGTAAAATCTCCTTGAGAAATGATGTCGAATACAATATTTTTTGCTCAACCTAAGAACATAAATTTTAATTTAACTGAGATGAAAAGTAATGATTTCCTATCTATTCGATAGATGGCGCTGAATGACTGACAAGTGACAATTCAAAATAAAAAGTGTCGTTACAACTTTTCGTAAGATTTTTTTCCGTCTAACCCCCTTTCACAACGCGCGATAAGGAACTTCGTTCCAATTATTTATGTCCTAAATATTAATTACATTTGAAACATATATTACACTGATTGATTCCTAGGTAATAAAACTAAAATGATTTATATATTAAATAACCCCCCATTTTTTAACTAACATTAAACATTATTCTTAATTTTTTTTTAAATCGTAGTTAAAATTGTTTGATCAATGATCTTTACCATGTGACACAATTTAGATACAAGACGTATTTGACACACTAACCTGGCAGACACAGTGGTAGTGAAGGAGGCGCAGTCGTCGGTGACGGTGAGGGGGGTGGAGCCCGTCACGTCCTCCCACACGGCGCGGGCCTGTCCGCCCATTATAGAGCACAGCAGGCGCAGGTTTGTTGTCGAAGGCTTTTCTGTGCCGTTGCCCTAAAACAGAATGATTGAAGAGTGAAGGTTAACTCAGTTTATAATTTTTTTTAGTTTATTTTTATAGTTATAACGTTTTAAAGGATTGATGATGAGAACTCCAGTCAATTGAATGTTTATTTTTTAAATGTTTTTTTTTTTTAAATTGAAGTTTGTCACACTTATGTGACAATGACTAGAATGTACTGAAGGAATGAAATATTTATTAGCATATAATATATAGGTGGCACCAGGTGTTACATAGCTGGTTTTAGATCAATGCGATCTTATTTATTTTATTCTTATGTACTCAATATGGTCCGTGTGGTGACGGATTAAGAATACAGAGTGTCACCACCCCTATTCATCCCGTGGGTGTCGTAAGAGGCGACTAAGGAAGCAAACCACGCAGGAGAACAGCACTGTAGAGAGAAGGAAAAATTGACACAAACCTTATACCAACCCGTCTGGCCAGCGTGGTATAGTAGGCCAAAACCTCCTTTCTAAGGAGAGGCCTATGTGGCAGCAGTGGACTATTAAAGGCTGATGATGATGATGTACTCAATATAAACATATACAGAAAAATACATAAAGTAATAGCGTGCACAAAGGCGAGCCTAATCCAAAATCGAGTTTTGTTCCAGCAAATCTATGATCGAAGAGAGGATATTATGCACAACAAGAGAAAGTCGTGTGTACAGCCATCTTCTGCCTGTACAGGGTGTAAGGGACGTCATAACGACTACTGAAATAGTGTGTTCAGACCATCATTTTGAATCAAAAATCATTGGAATTTTCTGCCGGAAAATCAAACTTTTTATGCAATCAGCTGTCAAAGGTTAAGGTCATTCCCCGTAGGTATCGCACAACAGTTTTAACTACATGTGTATTCCGTGAAAAAAGTCTACGCAGACTAACACAAGTTGGCGGCCGGATGGGAGGCCCCGCGCGCTTCGGTTTGATTAATTACATTGCAGTTATAGACCGTATGCGGTATTCATAAATTGTTCTCGGTAAAATGTTCTGTTTACTCATTGTGATATAATTTTTCATAATTTTTAACCAAAAAGGGAAAATTAAAAAAAGATATGATGAATTTTCTGGCAGAAAATTCCAATGATTTTCGACTCTGGATCATAGTCTGAATCTACTATTTCAGTATAGGTTACGACGTCCCTGACACCCTGTATAGTGATGGTCGGGCGGGTACGTACGGCGGTGGGCAGCGGCGCGGTGAGCGTGATGGAGCGGTGGAACTTGCGGCGGCGCGGCTCCACGGTGAGCACGGGCGACACGGCGGCGTGGCGCGGCAGCACGCGCCGCGACAGCTCCGCGCCCGCCGCGTGCGCCTGCAGCCCCACGCGGATGCGCTTCGTCAGCGCCGCCGCCGGGAACTGCGCCTGCACCTGGGAGAGGGGACGATTTGTCAAATCGAAACTACATCGGAACTGAATTTTAAAACCTTACGAAATTTATTTGGTTTTTTTAACCGCTGTGAAATATGTCCAAAAAATGATTATTCCTTACTTGCGGTATATGAGCACTGGAGATGGTTCCACCTTCAGGCCCTATTATATGCACCTCCTGCCTGACTCTCGACACGCAGGCGAGGTAATGTGGGAAGTCGCAAGTGATAATACGAGTGACCCGCTCACCACTCTCGCCGATTATTTCACCGGTGTTGCCATATTCTTGACGTTCGCGTTGTAATGCTTCCTGTAATGTTACGTTATTGTATATTCTTAAAATTGACGATGTGAATCTGAAAAATAATCTTCTTTTTATTTACACTCATACCCGAATCTTGAGAGTTGGGTATGTAATTAACTGAAAAGTGTGACGTCATCTTGTAATGAATACAGACAATCCAGACTATATTCAATACACATACAACACAACTACGGAGTAACACACCGAACTACGGAGTAACTGCTAATCCTGCATCCTCCATATCCTGTAGCATGAACATTCTTCACGCCAATTAGCATATGATATACAACTTCCCAGCATCAACCGCCTGACACCAGGTCAGATTATCCTCCATTTGTTGTGTTGGAGGAACACAGCGCCCGTTCGTCTACAAATTATATTAAACTTGAATAATGTGTAAATAAATACCTGTATGAGTGGGTTGTCGTTATTGTGTAGGTAGTGGTCCTGCCAGGTCTCGCCCGTGTCGCTGCGTAGTATCACGATCTCGCGTTCGCGGCACGATGACGTATATATTGGCACTTCGATGATCACAGGACTGTTACATAAATAAAAAAATATTTTACGTACATCTGACACACAACGCCATCTAGTTTTGAGAACTTGTACTGTGAAAACTAGATTGACTGATAGAATACTTATATACTTTTTTTTGTAAATACATACATATTATACATAGAAAATACCCAAACTCCGAAATGAATATTTTCAGATCATACAAACTTTTGGTTCAACCCGGGTATCGAACCCGAGACCTACCACTGCATCGCCGAGACAGTCAATAAACAATAAATATGATTAAGCATTCTTATCTTATTGGCAATATTATTCTATTATTGACGGCAATAGGCTCGCACTCTATTACCTTCGTAAGCGGGACTAAAATTAAGAAACAATTCAGGTAAAGTGCTTCCTTTACAGTTATCAGAATCGTTCATTCACCAACGTATATTGTTTTATTCTTGCCCTTTTATTCTAGTAAGTAGAAGAGTTTTGCTATTAGAAAATGACAGCAATAGGATATTAACCCATAATTCAATTTCGATTTAGCAGAATACTGGCTTGTTTATCACAGTATTTAGGTAGTGTTCAAAACTATTTCTATTATATTAAAAGGATTGCTGTGACTTACGCTAAAAACTTGGCTCCTTGCGGCTGTAGCTCCAATAGTCGGGAGGCCAGAGCTTCACCCTCCATGAGGGGTGGCGGAGCCGCTGCGGGCGCTCGGCGTGTTGCCGCTCTGCCAAATTAACGTAAACATGGTAACATAAAGTATGGCAAAGTATTTTTTATATACTTACTATATTTTAAAATACTTTGCCATACTTTAAACTAATATACAAAAAATCATTAAAATCGGTAGAGCCATTTCGGAGGACAAACACTATTTTTAGTTCAGATAATTGCATAGGCAGTAGAAAGTACAATCCGGTCTCCATAAAATTGATCAATAACAGCTTTAAGTTCGTGATCAATTTTCATTGAAACCCAAACTACCAAACCGATTTGTCTGTATTAAGTTCATTACAAAGTCTAAGACGCCTTTACCTGCATGTGACTCTGGTGGGTGCTGCGCAGGCGGCGGGAGGCACGATGATACGCACGCCTCCTCGCCTCTTAGCTATCATGGCGCCACCTCGAGCGTCCACCACGAACGACACCAAGAAACTATAGCAATAACAAATTAAGTTTAAAAGAAAACACCCACTGTAATGCTCCCGCATCATAATAAATTGTGAAAAACTACATTCTTCATACCTTACTTAATTTGCCACACTTGGAAGTGTTATTTTTTCTTATCACTCAAATAGGATCAAAGAACAATTATACTGATTTTTCAAATTTGTTCATAAAATCTAATCCAACCTAATTGAGCACCTCTTTTCTTGAAGTAGGTTAAAAACGGTGTTTAGTAGTAGGTAGTAGGTAGGTAGGTAGGTAGTTATAAGTACCCGATGTCGAGCGGTTGTCTGTCGATGGTGGCCACTTTCTTGTCATTGTTACTGGGCCAGAGGTGTCCATCGGTGACCGTGTCTTCGAGCGGCTTGGCCCGGTGCAGTGTGCCCGCCTCGCTGTTCATGTATCTATATTGCTGTTGTTGCTGAATTGGACACTCCACCTCACCTGAAAAGGATGTTATTTATAGTTTTGATTCAGTTAAATCCAAGCAGATAATATGCTGAGATTAATCATTTATAGAGAGAGATTAATAATTTATAGACATTAATATGCTGAGATGTGAGCAAGATCATTTGTTCTGTATCTGGGTGTAAATTATGTATACTATGTATGCAATTAGAAATTTGTAAGTATGTTTATCAGCAGTCTGGTCACCATGGCACAGGTTCTGCCTGGTTTGGGATCAGACATTCGTGTGTGAAACGTGAAAAAAAAAACATTATTTAATAAAAATAAGTCTGATAAAGCCACAAATATAATTTTAATTTTTATATTAAATTTTACTTTAATTATAACAATATTCGTCACGCGCACTGATTCTAGTCTTAATCACTTTAACATATGTATTTTTTTGCAAGTGGGTCGTTGATCCTTAACTCGTGCGATGCCTTTTTCAAAACTAATTTAGAAAACAAGCTATGGCAGGCTGTTACAGGTAGCTTAATAAACGCTGGCTATGTAAGTAATGACATTTGTACGTATTATGACCTTTCTCTGTAGTCATTAAAACCTTCATATAAACCCGGCGGTTTGGTAATATTGACTTTTTTTATGGCGCTGGGAGCAAACTAGCAGATGGATTACCTGATTGGATTGGAGACTTGCAACTCAAGAATCAAAAACACGTTGCCGCTTTTTGAATTCCTCCCAAGAGGGCTCTAGTAACTGAAGTTATCTCGCGGTGAAAAGCTACTTTTTTTGGTGTATTGCCCTTTCAATGGAACATCGCTAATTTGATCATAATAGGAGTAATACCGGCCAGTAAATGTGTTCTACTTTTAAATGTTCGTTATCATTTCTTCTTTAACCCTACTTAAGAGTTACTTTAAAAGATAGCTTTACTCGACTACTTAAATTCACTACCCGGCGTGAGACAATATTTATGCGGACGTGACCTTTTAAAAATAATAATATATATTAATCTTAACTATTTAAATATTACTGTAAGTGTTTATTTGTGCAATGCATTGAATTTGTTTATATGACCAATAAAAAATCCCTTAATACTTGTGATTTAGGACAAATAACATTTATTGCTTTTAAAGTGAGCTTATACACAAGCGATTTAATTCTATACTTTAAGTGGTACTAAATTACACTTTTAAAACATTAAAAGAGTCACTTTCATCTGGAAAGGAGTCGTTCTCATCTATACTAATATTATAAAGTTGAAGAGTATGTTTGTTTGAGCGCTCTAATCTCACTAACTATTTGTTAAAATTCAAGTTTTTTTTAGTGTTAGATAGCCCATATATCGAGGAAGGCTATATAACATCACGTTACGAGCCGAGCATCAATGAAAAATGTTGCAAAAATAGGAAAAACCTTTTGGGAGACGCAGACGAAGATGCGTAGGTCAGCCAGTCGACAATACACGTGTCAAAATGATGACCTAGAACTAATAGAACAGTATTCTCCAGCTTTGATTGAATATACAATACTGTGAGTTACATCATTCAGTAAGCATTTTTCTGCAATAAACTTCACTCAAGAACACGCGTGGGCAGTTGTGTTGTTGTTGCCGTTTAGATTATAAGAGTTTTAATTTATTAGTATAAGACTATTAGATTTCTACCTTTCCTCCTAGTGGTAAATCCTCTGGTATATAATTATTAATAGCTTTAGCACTTATGGCACTAATTATTGAAGTTAGGGAGTTATGATAGAGCTTAAGATACTGAAATGATGACACACACATACCAGAAGGTCTATTCTTATAATTAAAATTGGTTCAAAATTTACTTTCGACCTACTCTCGATCTTAGAAATGTCATAATAGGTATTCTCGTGGTAAAGTATTAAACTTCTAACGTTGACTATGTGATTATATCGTATCGTAACTGAAAGTTGAATAGGTATTCTGCTAGTATTAGTAATAATTTACTATGAGATTACTTTTTGTGACATTTGTGAGATTGAACTTTGATTCAATCTCACAAATGTCACAAATGATTGATCGGTACTGAATTTTGAACCAATTTTTTATTACGACAATTGATCTTCCGAAGGAGTCAACGTCGTGGAAAACAATGGCTTAAGTATTTAGGAATAATCTAACATATTGATCGCTACAAATATCTTCAGCATACAAATAAAATTTCAACCCTGTATAATAAATTATTATCAGCAGCAACATATTAACAGCATATTACTGTTCAGATTATACAAAACGTTCATTACTTTAAAATGAATTTTACATTTACAAAGAATAGTAGTATTGTGTCCACGCCGCCTCTTCACGTGTCTGTGGTAAAAAAATTCGCTAACAAACAATCCGCCGAGTGAGGTAACGATCTAATAATGTTATTCGTATTAGGAAACTCACCTCCCTCGTCTTCCGAGTCGCTCATAAATGTATCCTGCATGAGCTCAGGCGCAGCAACGCGATATTTGCCTTCCAAACCACCTGTAACAACACAAAAATATATATTTAGTATGACAATAATAACAAACAAGAATCTCTCGCATCTCATGGAACCGCAGTTTAAGGGTATTTAGTGTGAAGTATTAGTTTAATTTAGAAGGCCTTTAAGCTGGCTTTACAGACAGAAATATAAAATTCTCAGTTATATAATATTTCACTAAAAGTAAAAAAGATTATTATATCTATTGATTTTTGACCACTAAACTCGTTTCTTTCTCTCGTAAACAGGAAAAAGCCATAGCCTACAGTATCTTTCCATCAAACTAAATAGGTCAAAAAAACAATATCTGTATACTCTCTATAGAAAACAACTCACAGGGTTCTATTTTGGGATAACAAATGTTATTTATTTTTGGGTAAATATCACGTTTGAATAAAATCATTTCATAATTTTCCTGTATATTATGTCAGACACTAGGGAAGGAAGCCACCATATGACCTGTACTTATAACAAGCCACTTAATCTTGTACTGGCTGTATGTAGTTTACTAAACGTTTATTTCTTGTCAAATATTGATTGACTTCTTATCAAACTGATACATTAAGTAGTGACAAATTTCCCTAAATGACTCTGATTGATGGTCAATAAAATACAGGCCAAATTAAGCCTCAGTGCTATTTACTATATTACCAAGAGTTGTTAGGTGACAGGGCTCGGTACTTTCGCCAAGAGCCAGTTCAAGGTACAGGTACGCAACCCTGACCTATTTCTTATAATGCTCAGCCCATCCTTTTAAGAAAAATCCCTTTTCTACTAATACCTTCCCTTCTTACCTACCTTCTTCACAATATCCTTCTGATTTTCGAATTTGATTCCTAGAGCGACACTCTTCAAAACTAACTAACTCTTTCAGTCTAAACTACCTAAATTTTTCTACCCCTCTTTCTACCCCACGAGGATAAAGATGTGACTGTATGCTTTCATGTAAAAAAACATTGTGAAAATTATACAATACAGTTTGCAGTAACACGGATTCGGCAAATATTTTCGTTTTAGTTTTTTTTTAAAGATAACGAACGCACTATGAATAAATCCTGTGTCGCGGAGTTACAGTTAGATGTGTGGCGACTACCATTTGCATTAGAACAAAAAAATACATCTAACTACTAACAGAACTACGGAGTAACTGCCAATCCTGTATCGCGATATGAAAAGTTTTCACGCCTATCAGCATAATATAGAACTTCCCAACATCAACCGTTAGGCCGCGGCCCACCAGGCATGATCACCCAGTCTGGTCGGAGGATCGTCTCTTGGTCTTGGAGGGTTATGACACCCGAAACGGATAATATCTTTGCACAGAATCAACATAAAAAAATAAAGTTTGGTACTAAATATAAATTCCCACATTAACTTCAGTGAAAGTAGTAGGTAAGTTAATTCTCAAATGTAGTAAAATGTTTTAGCTAGAACTAAAATTTAATTATCGTATCGTATGACTGAATGATTCTTGCTCACGCTGTGCTATCGTTCATCACACAATAGGATATAAAAAGCATTGTTATTCGATCCATTCCCGATTTTTAATAAATCTATCATATGTACCTACGTGTATAGTCACTGCTCCGCTCCTAAGTGACCTTAAAACACACAGTATTCCACACAATTTTTTTTTTTTAAATCTGACGGATAGTTTTAGAGCGCGATTAGCATGTTTAACATTGCATCTTTAGTTTTTATTATATTAGTATATATAGTCTTATATCTTATCAAGTATATATATGTTATATTAGTATATATACTATCATAGTCTACACGGTAATACACATTATGTATCGTATTCAAAGTAATCACTACCCTAATCTCTTCTCATAAAAAACCTTCATCTTATTACACATATCTATATGTCTATCGGTATAAAACATAGGATGTATAACTTTCCAAAGAAAGTGCACGTAAAGTGAGGAAGTAGACATTACAATATGAATATGGGTTTCGGTAAGGCTTGCTGGTAACGCTTTCATGCATACAAAATTATTTGACACGGCATAGGTTGCTATGCGTCCCGGTTATATTTGTTTGGTATTTCTTCGGAAATAATACCACATTATTTGAAGAAAACAAAAGACCATATAACTCATTGTGTCTCTTTCTAAACTATCGATTTCTATTCTTTCGGGCTGTCATTAGTTTTGACCTTGTTTTTAGTTAGTTGTATTAGTTGTAACATCTGTTTTTATGTTCACAGCTCTTTATATTACGTATATTGAATGGTTTTTAGGTGTTGTTGTTAGAATATTGTCTATATTAATAAAAATTAAGCACTCCTCCTCTATTTGCTAACAGTAAAAAGCTTTCAGATAGCACACATATTTCAATCAGAAAAGGTCAAAGTGAAATATATCTTATTTTAAATAAAACACAAATAGATACGTGGCATACTGAAAGTCTCTGGATCTGGCCACTTACTACAAAATAATGAAAAAACAACTTTTCAATTTGCGAGACTGTGATTTGTTTCTTCATTATGACGACCTTTCGAAAATTGAGTGTCGCTATCATAATGAATTTACTCGTGAACACATTTTCGTTCAATGACTTTTTATGATTTTCGTTGTGGCTTAAGTCAACAAGAGAGTAGCCAGAGACTTTAATTGGCATTTGGTGATGAAGCACCATGTCGCACCTCTGTGTATTCGTGGTTTGGAGAATTTTAGACGTGGACGTGATCATCTCCATGACGAGGTACGTGAAGATCGGCCAGCGACTGCGGTAACAGTCTAATATTGACACTGTACGACAACTTATTGAAACTGACAAAAAAATTGCTGGGCATTAGAAAGAGCCAAATGAAAACATTTTGCATGTGCATCTGAAGGTTCGGAAACTCGATGGATACCGGATGTCTTAACAGAGGACCAGAAACGACTGCGTGTCCAGTGGTGCCGTAAAAGGATAAAAAGTTTAACGGAGGACAGTCATTGGCTGCCTTTAATATCGTCATTGGTAAAAAAATTGTTGCTTTTTTTGGCAAATCAGAACGTTACACTACAATATCGTTTGAAGATCAAAGAACAGTGACTGCAGATTGGTATATCAACACTTGCTTGCCCAGAGTCTTAGAAAAAATTCGCGAAAAGCGGTCCCTAAGGCACACTGGTCCTACTGCTTTGTACAGTAGTTTCAGCAAATGCAAAAATGCATTAATTGGAATATACGTTGAAAAACAATAAATGTATAGTAAGTATAATCTCATTTATCAGAATCCAGAAACTTTCAGTATGCCCTAAGTATCAACAATATTAATTGTGAAAGAATATTAAATATCTGATAGAGTACATAATATACTGAAACTTCCCTGAAAATATATACATTACGTGAGTACATACCTTCTCATGAAGTCGTTAAAATATATAGAACTACAAATCATATTTATATCACGTCGTTGAAGTTATGTTATATTTCAAAAGTCAATTTGTTAATAAATTCAAGTGTACGATGAATGGCGTGTATTTTATATTATTTTTTCAATTGCATGGCTCCTATTGTCCTTGTCTAGTGATAGTCGCATAGCGTGTCGATACCCACTAAATGCATTTTGCCAGACGTATTTCATGTTTTACAGTTAAGGTCAATGACACTCACGTGAATGACAGAATAACCCGTAGTTTGACAGTTGACTTCATCGTCAATGCGAAAGGGAACTAATGGTTGGACGGGGTCTTTGTAATTATGCAAATGTTTGTGTCATCATTTTTACTGGCGAAACTTTTTAAATTCTGGGCACATTTCAATGACTGCACGGATGGCGTAGTGGTTTAAGCGGTCGCCACGCCGTTTCCTACTACGCCGAGTGTTGTGGGTTCAAACCCCACATGGGACGACACTTTGTGACTACAAATTGTTGTTCTGAGTCTGGGTGTTCTTTGTGTCCGTGTCATGTATGTTTGTTAAGTCCCCCGCGACACAGGATATATTCCTAATGCGGGCGCTGTCTTTAAAAAAATCTAATTAATACAAAATAATAATTAACTGTTTTGATAAAATTCTATGACGTAGAAGTATAATTAGCGTAGCTATTTTTGAAACTAATGTACCTTCATTTAAGTGCCGCTCGGTTATTATATTATGTAAATTTTGTAAAGCTGGACGACCACCTGAAAGTTATTTTTATACATAACTAGCTGTACCCCGCCACGCTTCGCTGTGGAACATTGTAGTAGCATTGATGAAAAATAAGAAACAAAACTAACACGAAAAATAGTTAAAAACAATATTGGCAACGGGTTGTATATCGCGTCAAATTTTGAGCTCAATTGGTGCTAAACTTTTTGAGTTTTTTAAGCGTATACAAACAAACTTAACATATATTTTATACATATACATATTATTTTTATTTACTATAAATGTAGGTACATTAAATTACAGATGAAATGGTTTTAAGTGATCCGTGTACCTCAAAACTACCTTAAATTCTACCTTAAAATATTAATAAATAGGGACGAGTAAAAGACAATAAGTATTGAATCCTCTAGCGAATATTCTACCAACCTATATTTTTCCTGGTTATGAACTTGTCATCTACATATTTGTGCGTGTCTAAATACCCGTGAACCACAACCCTACCGGATTTTCGGTCCGTCGGTGTGTCGGAATCGAACCGACTAAAACCAAACGGAGAGCCACACTGCGCATAAAATAGGAAAAACCCGTGACCAGCTAACTACGTAATTATGTTCGTATCTAACATAATATGACGCTTATTTTAACAAGAGCTAGGAAAAGGTACACCTTTTGAAAGAGTGTCAATCTTATGAAACTGTTTCTGTGTTTCTGCGCCAAACTTTGAACGACTACGGATAGCGTTGTGGTTTAAGTATTCACCTCGGACGTTCCTACTGCGCTGAGTACTGTGGCTTCAATCCCCACATGGGTATCATCCTCACTTTATGTGATCCACAAGTTGTTTTGCCGATTCTGGATATTCGTTGTATCTGTTTCATGTATGTCTGTAAAGTCTCTCATGAAACAGGATACATTC